TATCCATAATGTATATAGAAGTTTTAATCCTGTCTCTCTCCCCCCGGGGGAGAATTTCGAAAAATCCCTTCTTAGTGTGCGTTTTCGTGACGTACCCTATCTGTGTACCGAATTTCAACTTTCAACTCCTAACCGTTTGGGCTCTGCGCTTATTATTATTATTATCATCAACCCGTTTCGATTATATATTAGATTTTACTTTTATATTATATGATACTAATACAATGAAATTATATTGCATCACTTTTAATTACAGTGGAACCTTATTTAACAAGCATAATTCATTCCAGAATCTTACTCGTAATGCAAAACACTCGTTAAACAAAACAATTTTTCCCATATAAATTCATGTAAAATATAATAATGCATTCCATGCCGAAAAAAAAATACTCAAATATTTTGTATAATGAATATTTAAAGAAAATTATACAATATACATTGTTAAGGAACGTGAATCATCATTATCTTTTCTTCTAGCGCGGAATGAACCAACCTGAAATGCAAATTTGATTTGCAGAAAACAAAAAAAAATCACAGATAATATGTCTGATAAACAAACCAAACAATATGCCAAATTCTTGGGCTATGTAAAGGCTATAATAAATATTAGAATTAATTAATTTGACTAGAGGTAGACAGTTATGCTTCCATTTTGTATTAAATTTAATAATTATAAATAATTAATTATTAATTTAGACATTTCTAAAATTTAATGTGGAATTGGTCATTAAATTTAGTAGAAGATGGCAGCATAATTATCTACCTCTAGTCAAATTAATTAATTTCTAATGTTTAATTATAGCCTTTACATAGCCCAAGAATTTGGCACATTGGTATGTTTATTGTATAACAGGCTATGATTGTTGTTGATGTTTATATGTAATATGTGTGAACACAAGTTTGGAAAAATGTGTGATCACAAGCGACAGTAAGATGCTAGTGGAACAAGTGCTAAACACAGACTGATGGAGCATGCACACAATTAAGGACTTCCCCTCTCCTCATCACTCGTTATGTGAAACATCGCTTGTTAAGCAAGTCATTATTTTACAATTTGTTTTGCTTGTTATACGAGGTGTGCTTTTAATGAGGTTTTACTGTACTTCACTAATAATTTTTAATTATTAATTTAAAAAATATATTTTACAGTGTTCAATTAATTCTCAGCCTTCATCACTTCAACAAATTTCAACTGTGGCAAGAAGAGTATCAACACCTGTCAGTCCTTTAATTCAAGTTTCAAGAGTTCGTCCTCCAATAGATCCCAGTCGTTTACCTGCTGGAGAATCTTATGCACAATCAAATGATTCACAGTTATCTGGAACTGGAGTTGATCCGTTTGTTCCACCACCAAGACCAGTTTTTCCTAATAAACAAAGTATACCTCAGGTCAGAGCAGTTTATCCCTCTTCTCCAATAAATCAACAGTTGTCTACACCTCGTTCTGAACTTTCCCGGCCATCTACTCCAACAGTTATTCCTGAAGTATTTCAAACTCCTCCTCAAACTCCACATCCTCAAACTTCAGATCCTTTTAATCAGCATTCTCCAACAACTAGAAATCAAAATCACTCACAGGATTCTTATCCTCAACCACCTTCCACTCCTCATCCTGTTGCAAGTCCTTATTCACCATCGCAATCTACGTGTTCCTCATCAGTGACTCCTAGTCCTATAGATCCTTATGCTCAGTCTCCAGGAACACCTACACAGAGATTTTCACAAGATTCTCCTTTTTCTCAACATCTCCAGCGTTCACAGTCAACTCCAGTCAGTCCAACTGCTGAACCTTATAATCAGCAACCTCTCACTCCTCATCCAGTGTCTGGTCTTTTACATACTACTGATACATATAATAAATCTCCCAGTGCTCCACGTCAAATTACGACTCCTACTAAAAGATTAATTGTATCTCGTCAAATTTCTGATTCAGTATCAGCTCAGTCTGAATCACAAACTATAGTTCCTGTTGCAGTTCATGGTTTAGAAAATGAACAACTCTTAGCAAGGCAACATTTAAGAGATTTACTTCAGAGACAACAACAAATGAAAAAACAAGAACAAGGCCAGATTCCACTTCGACATTGGCCAACAGGTAAAGACAGTTTTCAGTTTAATTTTACAATTAACTTTTAAATTCTTAAATCATTGCTTCTTACAGAAACCAAAACATTTATTTTATCAAAAAGTTTGTAGTAAAATAAATGTTTTGGTTTCTGTAAGACATGGTTTTTTAAGAATTTAGAAGCTAACCATGGAGTCAATTTTTGAGGAATATGAATGCTTTGCAGTTAGTTTAAAAATTTGAACAATTAAAGATTACATTGAATGTTACCAATTTAATGTTATAAATGATTATGGTTTATAACAACAACTACATTAACTGATCATTTATATTTATTTTGACACTTAAATATATTGGGTTGTTTGGAAAGTAAGTTCATTTTTTTTATGTGGGAAAAAGCACAATATTTTTATAATAAATAAATATTTTATTGAATTACAGTAGATCCCCCTATAAGACGGTAGATACATTCCGTTCTTTATGAATCAATTTTGTAGGAATCATAGTTTACGGACTACGGCTGTTTGAAAGGTTTTCTTTCATAAAATTAATCGATTCTAGACTAATTCGACTCAACATTTCCAAAATACGTATATTTTTTTGAAAATAATCCGTATAAACTACGTTATAAACAAAAAATTGTAGGATTGCTTACCGAGTGTGTACCGTTCGACTACGCCCGTTGCTAAAGCTTGGTTTCGTCGCGGAACAGCGCATCAAACCGCGGCCGCGATTTCTGATATTATTTTTCTGCGAAAACTTCGTTGACCTTTGGAGACATCCTTAATATAAATAATTTTTATGGCCGTTAAATAAGAAATGTTTCTTTCACAAGAAATGTATAAAATTACAGTACTGGACAGACGATAGGTCGCCTAACTCGCCGTAGCGTGACGCTAGACGGCGAAAAATATATATTTAATTATAATAAAGTTACAATAAATTAAGTTAATATATAATTATATATACAGTACCTAATTTATATATAATTAATATATAATTATATGTACAGTACCTAATTTATATATAATTATATGAACAGACGATACTAAACTCAATTTATCCGCCTAAACGTCCGTAGCGTGGCGCTACGGACGGCGGGAAAGTAGTTCGGCTGCCCGATGACGTTTTACGTATTATAGGAGTTATTTTTACCGTTGTTTACGGATACTGCCACAATTTTTATAGGAATCATAACTATAGGAAACGGTTTTATAGGGGGATCTACTGTACTGCCACAATTTTTATAGGAATCATAACTATAGGAAATGGTTTTATAGGGGGATCTACTGTATATATCGACCATTTTGGTCAAATACCTGTTGTCATCGTTTCTGGTAGTAGCTTGATTTCACATTCATAAAAGTTTTGATTGTTGCTTACAAAAAACTGATCCAAGGTGATTTTTGACATTGTCATTTCAAGTAAATATCTTACAGTTAAAAAAAATTTGTATAGACTGGAACAAGTAATAATCTGAGTGTGCTTGATCTGGCGAATATGGTTGATGTGATAGCACATCTTATCTAAGTTATAACAGTTTCTGACGAGTTACCAAACTTGTGTGAAATCTGACATTATTGTGGTAAAACACTAAACCTGTTTTGTTGATCAATTCTGGCCATCTTTTCTGTTTGATGATATTACGCAATTTGTTTACTCGATGGCAGTACACTTTCCAACCAATTGTTAAATTGACTGGTAAAAGCTCCAAAAAAACTTTCCTTAAAATCCCACCAAAGAGAGCATCTCTCTTTAAGAACATGTGGAACCCATATTTCCTTTGAAATGAAACCAATTTGTTTCAAGTAACCATAAACAATTCAATTTGACAAATTTAATCTTTTAGTGATTTCATGTGTTGTTATTCGGCAGTTTGCTTCAATCAGTACCTTTATTTTGTTTTCATTGGCTTCAACTGGCCATCCAGAACGTGGTGCATCTTCAATATTGAAATTGCCAGAATGAAATTTTGTAAACAAGTTTCGGCACTGTCGTTCTGTCAATACATCTTCTTCATACACATCACACAATTTTTTTTCTCGCTTGAACAGCATTCTTACTTTTTTGGTATTAAAAGAGCAAAATATGCCGAAAATGCTGCTTCCGATCTTCCATATTTGATAGGACACAAAAAATAAATAATTGCACAAAATCAAACAAAATTTTTTACAAATAAGCCTTGAAATGCTAGCTGTCAAAATATAAAATGATAATATGGTTTAGAATGAAAGTGGCTGGAAAAGTACGATTAATCCGTCTAGTGGTAAAAAAAACGAACTTTCCGAACAACCCAATAATTTAAAATATTTCTAGAATTCAAGTTAATTGGACTGGTGAAAATGTCCTGCACATTTGTGAAAATGAAAGCCAAAAGGAATGTAATTCATAAATACAGGTAACCCCCATATGACACGGGAGTTATGTTTTAAAAAAATTGCTGTGTTACGTGAATCCGTGTTATATGAAACAAAGAACTAGTGTGAAAAGTGGGATTAGGTTCCAAAAATTAAAAAACATGCTGTTAAATTCTTATTTAAATTGGATTTATTATTCTTTTTCATAGGTAAAATACTTATTATTTAACTAAATATTTTACCAGAGGATTATTCATCCTGTATGATGATCTCAGCATGAGCATCGTGAACTGGTAACAGTTTTTGGGTGAGTTCGTTAATAGCGGTTGCTGTGCAACGGGAGTGCGTTGCTGTTTGTAGGCATTTAGGATCGACGATGAAAGAAAGATGGCAGTGCCCGCACTATTGATAGTATCGTAATGGAGGAATCTATAATTCTAAAATGAGCTTTTAGAGGCAAAAGAAGGGTCCCAATTGTAAAATTTAATCATTAAATGGATTATTTGTTGAAAGAGCATTTAAAGTATCTACAAAAACAATTAGAATGCTTGTGCGGAGCTGTGCGGAGGTATAAAAGAACGCATCGTTTATTACATTTTATGTTGTACGGGGGTTTACCCAATTCCCGTACCATGTTAGATTGAACCCATGCTATAAAAGCACCGTGTTATATGGAGATGTTCCCAATTCTTGAACCCTGTCAGAGTGAATCCATGCTATAGAAATGCCGTGTTATACAGGGGTTACCTGTATTTAAAATATAAACTGCTTACTGTAATTTCAGATATTGTTAGTCATCTAATGTTATCAGAATTAGCATGTTTTGATATGTATAAATTAAACTATCCATTATTCAGTTTTGATTATCATTATCATAATCTTCAAATAAATAGACATATTTAAGTTGTTTTTTAGGCTATTGTCATCAAAATGTCAATTTCAGTTACTTATTATTATTACCACTTTCAATTAATGTTTTAAATTTTTACCATTTTAATTACTGTTCAATTGCAATATATTAGTTTAAATTGCTGATAATTGTTATTTTGTTTATTTGTCAAATTAATTAATTTATTTATTTTAATCTGTTAAATAATAATAATAATAATAATAATAATAATCATTAATATGTTATGTATTTAAATCATTCTTTAAACACTTAATTGTGTAAAAAACAAATAGTTAAAAACTGATTTTAATTTCATCAAGTTTTAATTAAATCACAAAAATCAAAGTTCAATTTATTGACAATCTAATGATTTCAAAAAATGATAAAGAATTTTTATAAAATTGAAAAATCTCAAAAATAACTATGCTCATTTAGCAATTGCAAACACTACACTATAAATATCCTTATTTCTATCTTAGAAAATTAAGTAACCAGAGTATTTCAT